ATAGAGAAAATGTCAGATCTACTAAAGTCTATCCAAATCCAAGATAGAGTAAAACAAAACAAAACCGAACCGTGATGTTCACGTGATCGCCCAGTGTCAGATGGAAAGGACAGCGTTCATTGGTGAATTCGCCTTCTTGGTACGAGTTCGGTACCAGCACAGGGTTGTAATCAGTCGTTTGCGTGTTTGTGTGGCGTGCGTTATAGAATATCGTTCAAAATTGTTTTCCAAGATGTCCAGTACAGACACTGCTGATCTGTACTGGACATCCTCTGAGTCCAGCCAGGAAACGATCCAAAAAAAGACATTTGAGTGTTGAGATGAAAGAAGTGATGGAAGAAATTGAGACATCGACTGTCGACGAAGTCGTATCCAAAGTTTCCGATGAAATTAGAGTGTATTGCGCTTCGATTTACAATGTTTTACGGGAATATAAACAAAATCATACATTTTCCAAACCGAATACAAATCAGAATCGTCAAACCATTATGATGCTGATAAACATGCAATAAGGAGGAAGGTGCATGAGTACTTTTTCAGAAATGAAATACCCACGATAGACAAAGTACTCACAGAAATAAATGAAGATGTTTTATTGCCAAGTTTTAAGCGGTCAACATTCCATAAAGTATTGAAACATTTGAATTTTGTATGAAAAAAACGAGGGCGCAATAGTTTATTATTGGATAGAGAGGAAATTGTGTTATGGAGGAGAGAGTATTTGACCAAAATTAAATATAATAGGAAACAACAGAGAACAACTTATCAAATGGATAAAAATTGGGTTAATGCTGATCATACTACCCCTAAAGTATGGGTCGATGAAACTGTGACCTCATCCAGGAGCGCCTTCTTAGATGGACTATCCACCGGATTAACAAATCCATCAGGTAAACTTATATTTATATTAAGACCTGCCTCAATCTCAATATATAAAAAATAACCCTTGTATTTGTTTTATTTACTTACATACCTATTCATAGTTTCAGGTAAAGGAAAACGGCTTATTATTTGTCACATCGGCAATGAGAATGGGTTTGTTGCTGAAGGGCTGTGGTGTTTCGAGTCGAAGAAAACTGAAGATTATCACGAAGAAGTGAACGGTGAATCTTTCGAACAGTGGTTTTCCAAAGTTCTACCCCATCTGGAGGATAATGCTGGGAATGTAATGGACAATGCACCTTATCATTCGCGACGGTTAGAGAAGATTCCGACAACGTCTTCAAAGAAGGTTGAAATCCAAAATTGGCTGCGATCAAAGAATATCAACTTTGAAGAGTCAATGCTGCTACAGCTACTAAAAATTTGTCAAGGAGCGCAAGTTTGAATACCAAAAATATATAGTCGATGAGATGGCAGCCGGCCAAAACAAAATTGTCCTTTGCCTGCCTCCATACCACTGCGAGCTCAATCCCATCGTGTTAATATGGGCGGATGTGGAGAATTTTGTAGCTCAGCATAACACCACGTTCAAAGTTGCAGATCTCAAAGTACTTTTTGATGAGGCTTTGAAAAGAGTCACAGCGGAGAAATGGGAGAAGTGTGTTCGGCATGTGATATCGGAAGTCGAGACAAACATGTGGAAGCTTGATAACATAATAGAGGCACAAATCGAGCCACTGATAATTCAGATTGGTGAGGATGACACTACTGATGAAGAGACAAATTCATCCAGTTGAATAATTTCAATTAATATTCCTTTTGATTTTACATAAAATAAAAATTATCAATAAAGAAATAATCACATCTCTTTCCATATAATGCTTGAGTGCGCTGTGAAAAATCCAATGAAAATTTTTTATATTACACATATTATCTGCATTTTTCCTGTTAAATAGCAATACTTGTGCATTTCACTCATTATTATAAAAAAGTTTTCCTAAGTATGATATGCATTTGCGATCAACAAGATGTTGGTTCTGAATACGACCCTGGCCAATACTTGAGATTTTCAATTTCACGTGCGTAGGGCATGTCAATGTTTACATCCACTCCATCTTGAATTCGAATTTGCTTTAGTGTTATACAAAATATATGATAATAGTGTCGATTATCCAGAGTTTTTAAGTTGTTACGCCGTTTGGAAAAAGCATTTTAGGTAAAAATTCTCCCATAAGCAGATTGTCAGATAATGCAAGGACATCGAAAGCTGAGTTTTCCTTCCCTTGAACAATTCAAGAAAGAAGTATGTGTTTTCCAAAAAGTATCTTAAACCAAAAGTATTTTATACGAAACCAACAACAAAACTGCAGGAGAAGAAGTAAGAGCAAATTGGTTGGATTAGAAGATGTTTTCGAAAACAAGATCTCGAAGGAGATGGAAGAAATCTACCTGGGTGCTCTATAGTGTACCCTCTATTTGGTATCCTTTATTTTCAACATAATAGGGTGACGCGGTTGAAAATAGCGTTGAGTCGTAATCAAGAAATTCAGAAAGCATTTCAGACGGATGTCAGAGACTAATTCCATTCTATCATCTAGAAAAAATGACGAAATGAAATATAATTTCTGTGAGTATTCGAACTCACAATACAACATTCCTGTGAACATGTGTGCCTGTCTAGTGCCTGTGAACATTTGGGTTCACAGGCACTATACTTATACTTAATAATAATAATAATAATATGCT